TTTTATTTAGCCATATCGGTTTAGTCTTTGATCTTTTGTTTTTGTTACCCAATGGTATACACTTTGAAATGGCAATATGTAATGTGTTCCTGAAGCAGTCCCACATTTGGTCTGAGTTTAGGTTGTGAAATGAGTTATCCCATTTTATTTCCCCCACTAGTTTGCGCAACTTATCGAAGTTTGCCCTTCTGAAATTAAGGGTTCTTGTCCGTCCCGCCCTCTTTCCTTTCCTGTATTTAATATTGAAAGTAATCACATTGTGATCACTACTACCCAGTGTCTCCCCAATTACAATATCCTCGATTAATTCCCCATTATTAGTAATTATTAAATCTAGGATGGCATTTTTCCTAGTTGGAACCTCCACCATCTGTTCCAAGAAATTGTCTCGCAACAAGTTCAGAAATCGGCCCGCTTTTGTAGATCCTGAGGTACCATTCACCCAATTGATGTCCAGGTAATTGAAGTCGCCCATCACGTCTACATTGCCCTCCCTCCCAGCTATTTCTATTTGGGAGTGTAGATTTGCTTCCCCCCTCCTCCCCTATATTCGGAGGTTTATAGCAAATACCCACAATAAGTTTACGGCTAGGGTCCGCCATATCTAGCCATAAGGTTTCCACATCTTCTCCACTGTTTGACATGATATCGTCCCTTATATGCATATTTAGATCGTTTTTAACGTAAATGCAAACCCCCCGCCCCTTCTCCCACATCTGTCCCTCCTGAACAGGTTATAACCCTCTATATTAGTAGCCCAATCATGTGTGCCATCTAGCCAGGTTTCCGATATACCCATATCATAATTTCAAGCTCTTCTAGTTTATTTGCTAGACTTCTAGCATTGGTGTACATACATTTAATTCTTGTCTTGTTATGCAACAAAAGTTTATATCCTACTTGTTCCTCACTAGTTTTATTGTTTGGCCTTGACGTAGGTTGTTCTCCCACTCTCCAACCTCCTCCACACTACTTCTCCCCACTCTCCAACCTCCTCCACACTACTTCTCACCGTGAGAAGTAGTGTGGTGGAGGTTGGAGAGTGGGGATTTGTGTACTGCTGTGAGCTTGAATGTCAGTATCCTTGCTGGAAACCTATAGACTGGGAAAGTTACCCTGAAGGTCTGAGACTGTTTAACTGCGATTGCAACTCTGAGACCTTCAAGTCGTTCCCGAGTGGTCCTGCCAACGTATTGGTGTCCACACGGACATTCCAAAAGGAGTTTCGTTGACGTAGCGCTTTGATATATATTTTTCATTACTTTAACTGTGTTGACTGGAGTGAGCCCACTATCTATTCCTCTATTACTTCTATCTGTATTATAATTTTTTTTAAATCTAAGATTAATTTAACCGCTCTGTGAAGAACCCCTTGCGCCCCGTGTGTTGAAATTTTTTTTCCACCAATTTTTGGTGGTGCCCTCTGGTCTTTGTTATGGAGCTAACCGTAAAGAGTTTGTTAATAATGTTGCGGTCACCATTGAACAATTTATATAAGAAAATCATGCCCCCCCTTAATCTCCTAACCTCCAAAGAGAACATATTTAATTTTAACAACCTTGTTTCATAGTTCAGGTCTTCGAACCCCTTAATGAGTTTGGTTGCCCTCCGCTGGACTTTTTCCAGATCAAGGACATCTTTTCTCAGTATCGGTGACCAAAACTGGACCGCATACTCCAGATGTGGCCGAACCAGTGATCTGTAAAGTGGCAAAATTATAGACTTGTCCCTGCAATACATTCCCTTCCTAATGCAAGACAGGACTCTACTTGGTTTAATTACAGCAGCCTGGCACTGCGAGCTGTTCATCATTCTGCGGTCTATAATGACCCCCAAATCCTTCTCAGTTTCCGACTTCCCTAGTGGCACATCCATAAGTGTATAGTCCATTTGCCTATTTTTAACTCCAAAGTGCATTACCTTGCATTTATCGACATTGAACTTCATCTGCCATACAGTTGCCCACTCCCCGATTTTGTCCGGGTCCTCCTGTAATGTTACGTCTAAATCTGTGTCTTTTACCCTGCCAATTTTCCTATCATCAGCAATCACTGAGACATGACTACTCACTCCCTCCCCGATATAATTAATAAACAGGTTAAAAAGCATGGGGCCCAGCACAGAACCCTGGGGCACGCCACTCATGACTTCAGCCCAGTCTGAAAAGACGCGCATACTAATGGAAACACAAGTCGGGTGCACCTACGTATGAAAACGATGATTGCGCTACACGTTGGGTATCGATGCGTGCGCAAGAGTAAGAGCAATAATTTTCCTGCCAATATTCATGGCTAACTCTAAACTGATGACCAGGCTTTTATTTTAAATAAAAGTTTGGCTATTTTATTTGAGTTTTACAATTCATATTATTTTAAATCCAGGAAACTAAATTAAATGTCTAATATAATACATACAATTATTTAAACATTTTTTATTTTTTTTTAAAAGGTGGGAAAAGTCATTTTTGGTTTCGGCCTGACAAATTCTGCTGCAGGATGTGTGTTGTGGTGCCATTCATTTCAATGGCACCCCAAACGTGCCTCCCGCTGAGTGATCGCCCACACAGGAATGCACGGTACTGCAATGCCGTGCATTCCAGTGCAGTGCGATTCCAAAAAATGTGCATGCAGTTTTATTCTGAAGTAAACTTTGCTTGCAACACTGCATTTGTGTATTTTATTATGAAAGAGGATATTTAATTTTTTTTCCTGTAACCGATTAATCGAAAAATATGAAATATGCAAATAATCGTTAGTTGCAGCCCTACTAAAGACCTAGTGTAGAAGGGAGTGACTTGGGTTTCTAGAGCACTGGGATGACTCATGGGAAGTTTGGAGGATTAGTTAAAGTAGAAGGGAGAGGAAGTTCGAAAATAGCTACCTACCTACCTGCGTGGATTATATGAGCCAAGACAAGAAACTGGAGCTGGTAGAGGCAACAGGTTGATCCTCCAAATAAAAAGACAAAATCCACTGCGCTAGGAGAACTAAGTGTTGAAAATAGACCATCCGCAACACTGTATGGTTATATTAACCTGTGATTTGTTATATTGATCCTCCAGCTTCAGAGTAGTAAACACCACATCAAAGAGTCGGTGAAGGTTCTCATTCATCCAGGTCATGGTATATCTGTAAAAAATAAGTCAAGGCAACTGGACTTGCTGTATTTTTCTTGAAGACGTTTCACTGGTCATCTAACCAGCTTTCTCAATTCAGAATGACAAAAAATACACTGGGAATAAATATGATGAATGTTACTCCAATCCACATTAACTTTTAGTCACAACCAGGTGTCAATTGCATTTCGCATAATTGGAGTCTAGGAGGTGTTATTAACCTGCCCAGAGAGAGGTGTTAAAAACAGATTATGTGGATTGGAGTAACATTCACCATATTTATTCCCAGATAATTTTTTGTACAAGTCATTCTGAATTGAGAAAGCTGGTTGGATGACCAGTGAAACGTCTTCAAGAAGAATACAGCAAGTCCTGTTGCCTTGACTTATTTTTTACAGATATACACATCAAATTAAAAGTGCTGTTGCAACAGACTACAGCAATATGGCCAGTACAAGATGGTAATGGTGGCAGGAGTGGTATTTGTTTCAGACATGCATAGATGATTAGGCTGTAATGTAAAAGAATTTAGTGGGGGCCACATTCCAAAATAAATTTTAATCTATAGCATCCGCAACCAGAGCTTGCAAGTTCCAGGACTTATCATTTTTTACAAAGGTCAGCCTGTTAACGGTGTCTGGGGACAGATTGGCTCTTCACCTGTAACAAAGCTCCCCCTGCACTAAATGTATGTTCAGAAAGCTCACTGGCTGCAAGCAGCGTAGAAGCTTGATGGCATACTGGGTAACCTCTGGCCAATGGTCCATCCTAGTTACTCAATAGTCAAGGGGTCAGTCATTCTGTGGGTGTCAACATCCACCCCTGACCCCATGTAATCTGCCACCATATCATTCAGGCACTGCCTACAGCTGCTGGCAGCAGACAGTCCTAGGTGCTGGTTACTGAGGAAGAACTTGAAATCACTTAGGCAGCCACCACCACCACCCGTGTCCCTCCTTTCACCAACAGGAGGCTCCAAACCAAGTTGGCTGCGAAAGGGTAGAATGCCAGTCTCTGGAAAGGAGGTCAATAGGTTCCTCCACAGCACATCCTCCAGGTATTTCATCTTTCACCCTCTCTGTGATGGCAGAATGAGCTCTACAATTTTCCCATTATAACAAGGATTCAAGAGGGTGGCTAACTGGTAATGGTCAGTCTTCTTAATGGCATAAATCCTGGGGTCCTTTTACAGGCACTGGAGCAAGAACAAGCCCATCCAATCTCCCTCCAACCAGATAGCAACTACTGGGGTTTGTAAGGTGTCAAACTCACCCTGGGAAGTGTGTCTCATGTCATCGTCCTCAATGCTGGTACTGCATCCGTACTCCTCCTCCTCGTGCTCCTCCTGTGCATGGTGCAGCCGCATAGGGATAGAGTCAGGATAAAGCGGACCCAGAGACACCAGACTCCTCTTACTTATGCTGCTGTGCGTCCTGTAACTGCCGCTGATGCACGCATTGTCATTACTCACTATTTTGGCTGCCTTCTCAAATGGTGACAATATTGTACACTAGTCCTAAATGAGAACATAGGGTCGGCCCGAACCTGAAGGTCATCTCTAATTGCTGCATAGAGGACCAAGAATAGGTTGCGTCTTTGTGAAAAAGAGTGCACGTGATCATAAAAAAGTCACAAGAGGGATGTAGAGCTCTCAGAGCACATTTGGGAAGGTCCACTACCACTGCACACATGCTGTGAAGCCCTACCCACCACAAGTGAGGTCCACCAAAAGCATCCAAACAGTCCTGTTATTTTGGGTCCTAAGAGAAACAGCGCTTCTCAAAAAAGTCTATGGAGTACACCCCATTATGACAACGCAGGGTAATAATTAGATAAAGATAAGTAATAGGTGACTGGGTTGGAGTAAATGCTCTTCTGACTGTACCTGTTGGTGGTCTCATGTATCAGCTGATTGTCAGGAAGCTGCATCTCGGTTTCCTAAAATAAAAATAAAAACTGTGTATTTCTATCTTTAACAGAAAGACAGCCTAAATAAAAGA